TTTGTGAGCTGAACAGCAAAACCCGACAGATGAGGCCAAGTGATTTTAAACGAAAGATAGGATCTACGTACTATAGCTCAGTTCAGGTAAGTCAGAAGTTCAGTTTTAATATGTGTATATTCATTTCGAATCCAAGTAAGGCTAAAATTAACATCAATTCATCCAGGGTAATTGTGTCGATGTTTCTCATGAGCGAGAACGAAAAATGGCAGGTCAGTGTCATCCCAGATACAAAGGAAGCTGGTGTCAAACACGTAAGTACCGTAAAAATTTTACACAGCATGGCAAAATGAAAGTTTGTTTCCTTTTTAGTGATTGGATCGATTTTGCGTATAATCTGTATACTGGCCTCCATATCATTCCGGCATGATTTCAAGGATAATAGTAAAGGCGAGGAAATAAGTGAAACCGCCATATCGCCCGACTGTAATGGTGTCATTTTGTAGGAAAAAGTTCCTTGCAAGTGCGCGTTTTCTTTTGAAACTGTAAACTTTTGTCTGTAAGTATATGAATGAACGTTTCGATGGATGGAGAATGCTCGAAATGTCAGGCGTTTCTCCAAGCAGTTTTATGTTAGATTCACCTTCACCTACTCAACTTGGTATACCATTTTATTTTAACTTACCTGGTGCATTTAAACATTATTAGGGAATTGGCGCAAAAAATGTTAAGAAAGGGATCCGTCACAAAGATTTTCAAATGAAGGTTACATTGTACTTTACAATTTTTGTTGGTAGCTAAGAAAGGTTCAAGTTCCCAACATCCTGCTCGCTCATGCAAGATGATCCAGGACACAGGTGACTCAGTGGGAGATGGAGAGTACTGGATCGACCCTGAAAACAATGGAAACCCTTTAAAGGTCTATTGCGACATGTCAACTGACGGAGGTGAGCGATAGTTGTATTGTAGGTTACTTTTCAGCCAGTGTTGATCGGATAAGTGTCCTAAAATGAAATCTTCGTCTGGCGTGCTCTGACATCAACCATTAAAGGAATGTTATCGTTTAAGCATCTTAAACCAAATCATGGGTCTTCAGACTGACGAGAGGTAGCAAGCGCAAGGGTAAAGAAATTTTATGTACCGGCTTCTGCTTGCCTCTATAAAATTTCTGTGCTTTTCGCAAAAAATCGTATTTCATTTTTCTAGTTAACGACTAATCATAAAGGTTTCTTTTCATCACATGCTTTATTTAAACTCTTTTCTTACTATCTATTAGCATAAAATATATCTAAAGCGCCGGGGTTGTGACTATCCTGCACGTGCCCAACGAATGGCACATTTTGCAGACAGCAAATTCAGCGCCTTTCCCCCCCTACGAAGCCATCTTCAAACATTTACATACTACAAACTTACGCTATTTTTCCATAAACTGAGTATACACCCGAAAAAACATATTTCTATCGTCCAAGACTGGAGGTGTAAATATTTTGGCGATGAGCCAAGTTGAAAGCAAGTTTTTGCCGTTTCAGGAGGCTGGCTTCTTGTTTCCAACCTTGTGATGGCCAGTTCAAGACGCAGTTCCGTTCCGCTGTTGTTTGAGACGTCGTACCATGCTATCAGCAAATATCAGAAGAACAACATTTTGCTGACAAAAACGGCCATGAATGAACTCAGAACACACTTGAATTTTACTCAGCTGAGATTCCACTGCAGCAAACGATTGAAGCGTACGTTCCACGTAACCACAGCTGCCAATAGCTTTGGAGAAGCTGTGGTCCAGTACTTCAGCGGTCAGATAGATGTGCTGCCATATTCGTGTGAATCTTTTGTCAGAATGGAAGACGACAACTCAGAATTAGCCAATGTCTGCCAAAAGTGGGGGTTCGAGGGCAATAAAAAGCATAATGTTGGTAAATGGAGCTCTTCTAAACGCAATGAGAACAGATTGTACGATCATGTTGTGATCGTCTATGCGACTTATCACTGGAATATTCAGCCATCACAACAACGATTTGAATGCGACGACTACAAACATGCAGTGTCTGCCGGCGATTTCTGGAAAATTTATGTACGTTAGATATTTTGGGTGCATTCCCTGTATTCACAAGTCTTGACTCACACTAGTTAGTGTGATCTAACATCGATACAGAGCGCGCAGTGTTCTATTGAGTATTGAAAGTGATCCTAGATTGCATTGGTTTTACTTTACTTCGCTTTGTAGTTGGTCCAGAAAACTTGCGCCCGCCACCATCTCAACCAATCAAATGCAAAACTAAAACCAATTCCAACTTGGTCACTCGTGTTTTCCCGCGCTTCAAGCAGGTTGCCTGTTTTGCGTCGAGTTTTCAGTGCTTAATGATAATGTAACCTTTTTTCTTATTGGCTGTGTGATTAATTTGCGTTTGGTTTTTCAACACAATTCAAAACTGCTCTATTAGTCGTAAGAATTCATTTTGACCTAACTGAGTTTTTAAAGTTCCCTCCGCCAGTCTCTCAAGACCCGGTTACTAACTCACTGAAAAGTTATCTTGTTGTCTGATCGTCAGCCAAATATCATTGGCTTGTTTCAACAGGACAGAACAGCCTCGAACGCGCTGATTAACCCGGCAATGTTTCTACAAGTGATCTCTGGAGGATATATGTACGTTGAGGACTCTATGACGTATGAAGTTATTATTGTTGTCATAAACATAAAAATTAGAATCCTAACGTTTCTTAACACGTAATACTTTTTCCAATAATTGTAGCCCAATAATTGTAGAGTTGCCCGAGGCTATCGCCTCGGGCAACTCTTACGCTTCTTTCGTGCTCTCCAAACTTCCCGCATGCTTCATAACTCGATAGTGCACGCTAAAGCATGAACCAATTGTTAATTAATGGCGTCAAATAGTCTTAAATGTGTTGATTTAGTGCCAAAAGTTTTCTCATAATTTCAGTCCATTAAAAATCGCTATGATGTATTGTGTCAAGAGAAAATTATGTCCAATATTTTCTCTTGTTTGTATCTAATCTTGGTTTTGGCGTCATTATGACACCAAAGAAAGAAAATCAAGGAATAAATCCAATCAAATGATAAACTGCATATGATCTACACTAAACAGAAATTGTGACTTTCTCTTCATTGCGCAATTTATTGGAACTTCTATTCAGGATACATAAGGAAACTTAATCGATTAGAGTCCACTTTGTATCAGCTTTTGTTGTCCTTAAATCGCCCCTTTGTGCATTATGTGGAGGTACACGTTTGCCGCTAAAGCGATGTTGCTTCTCCAATTTGAGTTAAGGATCATTAAAGTTTTCAGCAGGTTCCACGACGAAACGCTTCCTTTCATTTAAGGTTAATGTCGTTGCAAATTTACACAGCAACATAACAATAACCTTTTGGCGTCTATTACACAATAACGTGATTTTTTTATTTTTTTTTATTTTTGCATTAATTAAAATTACGAGGAGAGCTGATGAGGGCAGTGTCAAATGGTGAAACTCTCATAGTTTCGTCTCTTACGTTACA